GCATCCAGCTGTCGCAAGTGCTCTGCAAGGCACGGATTTCCATTCGCCTTCTTACTAAATGTGTCCATAATCAGTGAGGTCAACGAACACTCCTCTGGTGTAGCCGAGGGCGCATCGTAATTTTGCACGGCTAAAGCACCGTGTTCGATAGTCTTCGCCTTTTGTTGTAGACTCGCCAAGAGTGATTGGCTTCTCAGACGGACAGCTGGTGCAAGATCGCCCAGCTCGCTGGCAAGCACAATCATGTGTTGGAAGAAGGACGATGTGAATCGAAAGATTGTCGAGAACCCATCTTCGTAGAGTGTAGTACAAGGAACGAGGAAGACATGGCTCTGTCCCATTCTCATCTCGTGTGCACACCAAGCACGCTCGAACCACTCTGAACTCAAAATTCGTTCAAAGCACGATCTGAAGATGCTATTCCGCTGCATGAAGGGTGGTTCCATACCAAGATGGGGTTGTTGATCTGAGGGCAGTGCAGATTGATAGTACATTTCAACGTAATACCGCAGATATCGTTCTTCATCCACTGTAATGGACACGTCGTCCAACGCCACAACAACCGTCCTCGCATTCCTGTAGATGGTGTCAATGGCTCCAATGGTTGCCGCCTTCTCGATGTCGTTATCTTGGTTGATAGATACTTGGTCGTACCACAGTCCTTCGCCTGGCTGTCTTTCTTGTAGAGCTGCTCGGAAGATGGCAGGACTGGTCGGCAGGGGAAATTGCTCGATTTCCTTTGTCCAACCAAAAGGCAGATCCCCAACAGGAGTTACCACTCTGAGCGGAGTGTTTGGCGTGACCTTTTTCCAGCAATAGCTTATCGCTATGTAGCCTTCTTCCTCACTTTGATAATGTACATCGTTGATGAGCCGGAGGGGAAAAGCATTGTCCACGAGATCCTTGGAGATGACATCTTTGGCGAGTGATGGGGCAAGACGATGGAGATCTGACAAGAGGGTTGTGGCATCGAACTGGTGACCAAATTCAGAGGTGATACCAGGCTTTCGCTTGTGAAGTAGTGCTTCTCGCGTGGGCGACTCGACGAGTCGAACCTGGAGTCTCGCCGTGTTCAGCTCATCTCCATCCACCTCGAGAAATCCACAGTGATCAAAACGAGAGTAATAAGGAGGTGATTGGGGAAGAGCCATGTGGAAGTACATAGTGATGGCGAGTTTGCAGCAGTGAGTAGGCCAAGTGGGATACCTGACATGCTGCCGCGGCAGGCGTCCACACCTCTTGATATCCCAGAGAAGCACTCTATCTTGCTACCCATCTGTCCCTGGTCTCTCCGACTGCCCAGCATCGGGATTCAGCACTGACGTCCACATACCGGGTACCATGAGTGTTTAGACCTGACAAGACCGCGGTATGCATGATGTCGTTCCGTCGGGCTAGTAACACCATGACCGCCCCTCACCTAGCGTCTGTGCGGGGTGAGATGTGAGGCAGGCAAGTGGGCTGACGACGGGAAGCGTCAAGGTTGGAAGTGGTGTAGTGCATGTGTAGAGGAGGGCATGGAAGCGCCAGATTCCGGGATCTCGTTCGCCTGCACGGCCCGTCTTGTTAATAGCGGGAAGGGGAGATGACGTTGGATCCATCTGAGGCAAGCCACCACGACAACAACCAAAAGCAATGGGAACATGTCGAAACCAACCTTCTTTTTTTCCTTCTCGAAGGAGGGCACCATGGGCATCGTAGGGCTTGAGATTTGAAGCACTCTAGAATTTCTAGAAGGTAATAAAAAAACAAGTCCATCTTATCTGCACAGGGCCCAAGTGGACATGCCACAATGCGTGTGCTGGCTGCGGCATCATGCTAAGTAGAGGCAGTAGATACTACAAGCTGGAGGATACCAAGGATAGCATGTGCTGTAACAACGAGTGCGATCATGTTTCTTGGCACTATCGCGCATTTAGGCGAAAGTTACTGTTTAACGTATACACTACACCAGATTGCGTCTCGGATTATGGCGACTGTGTTGAGGACTCCTCCACATCAAAGGGCGCACGTGGGTACCTCCAGAATGGGGAAGTTGACGCGGATAATATTTCAGTATCAAGGGGCCGAACGAGAGGCCGAGAGAGTAGTCCAAAGCGTCTCATTGGCCATCGACGTTGTGAATTACTATTCCAAAGCATAATTCTGCCCGATGACGGTCCGTTGTAAAAATAGACAACTGACAGCCGTTGGGAGCTCCAGTGCGTAAAGAAGACCACACCTGCAAGCGAGAGAAACATACCCAGACTCCAAGCTAACCCAAACTCAGCCCATTCCCCATGTGTGTCAAACCGTCTCTGTTTCGCAACACCTCAACTCCAGCCTCTGGCAATCGTTCCGCTTGCTAGATAAGCTATGCTATCGAAACACCTTGACAAATCCCCAGACACAGAAATCAATCGATCTTGGCATTGGCAAGCCTATCGTTCGATCCGGCAATGACGTTGGACATCCGAACGTTCTGCCGCTTGTACTTGCTGTGCTTCCTGAGGCGTTTACGCGCAACCATGACAGGAACGGAGGACTTGGTGACGAGGTAGTTGCTGAACGAGCCAAGCAAAACACTGCCAGGATTAGTTTATGCCTTCAGAGTCGCGGGAACAAACTCACCCTTTCAATGCAGTACGACCTCTTGATCCAAGGATGACAAGAGTAGGCTCCAAGAAATCAATCTGCAAGACACATTTGTCAGCACGGCGCGGCTAGATCAAGAAGGAATCTGGAACGTACCACTTCTGTGATCATATGCTTGGGACTCTTGCAGTGGAAAACTTCCACAACGGCGCGCACTTGCAAACGCGTCTTCCTAAGTAGCTTTACGCACCGATCAGACACCTCGACACAGGCTTGGTATCGATCTCTCTCAGCCTTGCTCATGGCTGCGACATTGGCTTCCGTTGCCATGATCGAGTTGGATAAGGCTGAATACCCAGGTCTTGCCGCTGGCAGACCATCGTGATTAGATAATGTTCTCTTGAGATGATCAGACTCCTGCCGTCCCGTGGTTCCTTGGCTTATCGGTGCTCCAGATGCGTCGTTGCCAACAACACCCACTTCTTCGTCTACAGCATAGACGGCAAGGAGGGTATCACCGTCGCGCAAAACTGTGCCAATGGTCCATTCCAGAGCATACGCAGCTTCGGGGCTTACATCAGTTGAAACCAAATAGACACGCTGGCGCCGCAATCCCTTTTGAGCGTCATCTGCAAATTGAGTATAGTCGCCACGAACAATCTGTCGGACGCATCGATGGGCTTCCGGACTAGACTGTATTGGCGATATATTTAATGAAAGTTGTTGGGCAGATCTTATCTCGGCGAGATCATCTTCATGGTCGGAGTGGAGGGGCGTCGACAGGCCAGAGCCTCCCTGATCGAAGCTGGTATGAGGATGCACAATCCCAGAAGAGTTCCTTCGCGACATCCTCTCGCCATTGGGTCCCGTGACGTTTATTGAAGGCTCAAGCATCGATCTCGGTCGTCCTTTGTATGAGACTGCCACATCCCTTCCTGAGGAACTGTTAGCGCGCGCATAGAATTTCACGTAGTATACTCGACTCACGCTCTTCCTCTGCAGCAGCCAACAGGCTCTTTGCAGTGATGATGTCCCTGCCCATGCTGTCAACACCGCCAGACTCTTTTCGGGTGCGTTGTCGCCCCCTCTCTCGCTTCTTGGTTGTATCCCAGCCATCTTCCCAGTCTTCGCTGTCCGAGTCGTTATCACTGCTCTCTACTGCCGCGCTGTCTTCACCATCTTCATCTTTAGCCAGGCGAACCCCTCCACCGGGTGCTGGAGCGGTCCCCGTGGCAGGGTCAACGCCTTTGGGGTTGGGAAGCGAAGACAGTCCTCCCTCCGAACTCGCCAATGCAGCATCGGATAGTTTTCGATACGCTGTGTCGGCGTCAATCTGCTTGCCGGAATCCGTCACTAATGTCTTGCTCGATGAAGGCGTAGGCGAGGTTGGTTTCAGCATGCGTGTCCCAGGCGACATCGAACGATCAGGCGCTGGGGAGCCAGATTTGGACCGCCCCAGAGACCCGCTCATGGAGTTGTGTCTATCTCGGCTGTTGGAAGAAGCCAGGATGCCTGATGAGTTGCCGTAGACGGACGACATGGCTCGAGGCTTTGCTGCGACATCCAGCTTCGCGCCCTGAGACTTGCGCTTGGGCCTCGCCTGCGCATCGATCGAGGGCAGTATGTCGAACCTGTACGCTGACTCTGGGTTGACTCGACGCGAGGAAGACGACGAAGGCATGGCAAAGGGAATGCCAGTGGTGCCCCGACTAGAGCTGCGGCGCTGATCTGGGCTGTCGACATCAAGCATGCTGCGTAGGGGCGAGGTAGGAGAACCCGGGCTCCTTGTGCGGACGGCTGGGCTCTCAGGTCGACGGCCTCGAGGCTTTTGCTTGCCCTCGAGTATGCCAACGACCTCCCTCATCTCCTCGTCAATTGCGGCTTCGAGCGAGGCCATGGCGGCGGCGGTGGTGGCGGTGGTGTTGGTGGTGGGCTTTTTGCTTGCACGGCACAGTGCGGAGAGGGAATGCGATTGGCAGCGTGTTGCGTGCCTAGTGCGCTGTCAAACGCGCGTAGGTTTTGGCCAAAGGATAAGTTCTGTGGAAATAGTCGTAGTCGCGGGGTAGGTAGCTCAGAGAAGTGATTGGGGGAGGAGGGGAGGGAGGTGGGGGGTAGCAATTGGGAGTGCCTAGGGCATCACAAGCCCCAAGGCATGCACACACACACTACCTATAATAGCTGCGACGCGAGGACAAAGTTCGCACCAGCCACACGACAAGAGATGCTTGGTCTCGAGTGATGTGGGGTGGGCGCGTGATGTTGTGAGCGGGAAGTGGGAAGTGGAGTGGCTTGGGTAGTGATGGTGGCGGTGGGGTAGGTAGCAATACAACAAAACAAACAACTCCCTAGACAGTAAAGTATGGATGGTAGGTAGAGTACTCTAGAGTAGAGGACTGTGGCTGAAAGCAAAGCAACTGGCGGGCCGATCCGAATATCCGAATCCAATATTGCTAACCACTGTCCGAGAACAGGTGGTCACCTAGCAGATTGATGGAAGCGGACGACATGGGGAAGAGAAAGGCAAGGCCGGGGGCTTGGAGGGCGGAAAGCGTCATGGAACAGTCAGCGAAACCCGATGGTAGAAGGTAAGCCCGTGGACCAAGGGTAGGAGATACAGTAACAGTAACAGTAACAGTAACAGTGTACAGTTAAACCCCTCAGCCAAGTCGGCAAGTCCATCATGGCTTGGCAATCTTTGCGCCTCACCACCCACCTGGGCACCGATCCCGCCTCCCGTCCTGCCTGTGCGTGAACAAGAACAACATGACAAGCCAGCCAAAGGGACGCTGGTGGTGGTGGCCATGAGAAACAGCACATGCGGGTCCGTTTTCTTTGCAAGGGCTTCAAGCAGAATCTCATTTATTTCAAACGCCAGAAAGCTACCACACTGCTCCCTCCTGCGCCCCCTTCGATGCTTCGTCGAGTACATGGGCCCAAGGTCTTTCACATGCTACCGTAACTTTACGGCGGCTGGCCAGTGGGGCAGTGTGGCTGTGTAAGCTGTGGGCCCTGGCTTCACAGTAGTACATACAACACAGTACCTATAGGCTGTTGTGCATACATGCATGCAGGTCGGCGACACCACACCTTCAGCCAAGCCAACATTGAGCCTTCACGGCGGCTCATGACAACCAATCCTTGAATGGAGCGAGTGCTGAGCATTAGGATCGGCTGCTTGAGAACAACATTCTGTTGGGTGGATGGATGGAATTAACTACACTGAAGCCAGTCCGCCTCCTCTACCGCTTTCGAGGCAACACAATATTGGCTCGAGCAGCGATGCCGAGCTTGTGGATGGCATTGCGCTTCTCCCAACAACCGCTTGTGCCCTGAACGACGGCAATGAGCTCCTGCGCTATCCGCTGCGCAAAGCTGTTCTTTCCACTGCCCACATTTCTCCTCTTGGAGGCGGCAGTAGTGATCCACTCGATGGCTGCGCGTCGTCGTTGTCTCTGGCCGAGTGGCACTGGAATTTGCAGAGCAACACCACCTCCAGCCGCACCTCGCTGACTGCGAATGCGCATCAAAGGCGACACCGAGTCGATTGCCAGGGTGAGGTACAGAATCGGGTTAAGGGGAAGATGGGACGGTGGAGGAGCGCCTGGCAGAAGTGGCCTTGCTGGGTTAATTGTCGGAATGGGTGATGTCCTGAGGTGTTGGAGAATCAGCGCCATATTCTGTAGACTGTGTCAGCCCTGTATCTACACACACACACACATAGGCAGTGAATCAAACTCACTCGTTGCGCAACACTCTTCTTGCCATGTCGCATCAGCAGATTGGTGACTTGTTCGACTACCGGGTCGTAGCGGTGCTTGACGTGGCCGTCCTTTGGCAAAGGGAGCGTTGGCATTCCAAACTTCAGCCCTGGCGTTTCTGGCGCCTTTGACATGGCGTCAAAATCTACAATGCCCATATCCAAGCCCTCATTCCCACCCGTTTGTGTCGTCATGGTCGAGTATGAGCGCGAGCCTTTGGGTGCCGAGGTGGAAGCCTGCGACTTGAGCTTGTCTTGCATGACCTTGGGTAGTTTCTCCTGTGCCGCCTTGTCGCCCTGCACAACCTAGACGTTTGTCAGTCGCTAGTCCTCTTCTACGGGGCACAAGACTAGCACACCTCTTCAATGGGTGTGCCCTGGCTCAGATCAGGCCCCTTTTCTCCCATAGTCTTCGCAACAGCAGCCGCCTCTTCGGAAACGTGTTCGATGGGTTTAGCATCCACTCGCTTGGAGCGGTCGGCAGCGGGGACTGGATTCGAATTCGAATCTGAGTAGGGACGGAATTGCGATGGCGTCGGTCGCATAGAAGACCGGACAGGCCATTGCACCTGAGATCGCGGTCTAAAGGCGATGGATCGCGCAAAGGTCGTGGTGTTCAATCGTGGCGGCATGGTGGTGTTTTGTGAATGGAGAGGGAGCGCCCTGGCTGCAAAATGACGGCTTGATAGAACATGGATGAACCGATGTCGCGTAGCATGGTCACGTGCCCAACTACTAGCCACAGACTATGTACTCTACTCAAAGTGCATGGCCCAGAACATGAAGACTGATTTGCATGTGTACTCTAATGAAGAGGGGAACTTTGATCTAGAGTACTCTGCTGTCCCTCGGATAGTGCGTACTCGGTGGCTACATACAACACCTCGAAGGCAGAATTCAGGTGGCGAGACACGAGAATGTATGCGTACTAGAGTAGTAGTAGTACTCTATGTGGTTCAAGTCTGACAGCGCATAGAACGCAGGCATGACGTCGCGCACTGCCCCTAATTTGCAACTGGTAACATCAACAGAAAAGAGAGCATCTTCTAAGTACTCCTAGTACTCTACTCGTCGTCCCAGAAGCTGCAAGATGCACGACAAGTGGCAAGCTGCCGCGAACACGCAGACCACCCATTCTCTCATTGGTGTCTTCCCAGCGCTCCAAGGGCAGGATTGCACCTCCAGACGGGATTACCGTACCGGTGAGGATCCGAACAGGCGGCTACAGGTCGCTACCCTATGGGCTGCAAACGATTCGTCGTTGATCGAGCATGACGCGAGTGAGGGGTCCAGCGGCTTTTAACTCAAGTACCCAAAGAAAGCAATCGAATCCACCTCAGTCGATAGCCTGATGTTTTGAAGCTGGGCTTTTCCAACTATTCCCTACGCTGCTTTCTCTCTTTGCTTCCAGGTACCTGCTACTCTTGAATCGGCGTCTCGACTGGAGTCTGCCGTTGTGTCAACCCCACCTTCACACCGCCAAGCCTCTTCCTGTAAAACGTGACAGCCCGACATCCACGCGTTAGCGCGTCATTCCTAGCGGCAAACGCCCCAGTAAAGCCGTTTCCGCCACTTTCCCCTCACCACCTCTCGATTGTTCGTCCTGAGGTGTACCTTCATCCACACACTCAGCCCCTTTTTGTTTTGGCGAGGCTGAGCAATCTGGTCTGATTCTGCTTGCGTTGGGAGTTTCGTAGCGGTAAGCTAGTCTCAATGTCTTTGTTGTTGTCTGATGGCAATTCACTTTACAAGTTGTTTGGTGGTCTCCAATCTGGTTTGACTCAGCTTGACTACCTCTTGTCTCAATCCATCTGAATCAGTCCATGTATGCGCCGTTCCTGTTTCCCAGACTTTCTGTTCGACAATGGCCGACCACATCGTTACCCATATAAGGCCCTGTCCATGAACAGCTGTGGATTAACTTTCATATTCTGACTAATTACAAAACGCAACTTCACTACTTGCACACAAACTGAACACAGCAGCTACCTGTAAGCATTGTTCGGATACGTACACTCATCTATTGCTGAGTCATAGAAAATGGCGGATCGCGGCCGAGGTGGTGGACGTGGCGGCCGAGGTGAATATCGTGGGCGCGGTGGAGGTGACCGTGGCGACTTTGGCGGTGGTGGGCGAGGAAGAGGTGATTATGGTGGTGGTGGACGAGGAAGAGGTGATTATGGTGGCGGAGGCGATCGAGGGCGAGGAGGCTTTCGTGGTGGTGACAGAGGCGGCTTCCGCGGAGGCGATAGAGGTGGCTTTCGTGGTGGCCGGGGAGGCTTCGAAGGTCCCCGGGTTTTTGGGTAAGTACGCTGGAGACTGCCATGATGGACAGTCATCTGACCTTCCTTATAGCAATGGCACGTTTCCACAGCCCGATGCAGTGGTCACGAAGCTCGAGGATGAGATGGTCAAGAGTAGTCTGTCGACAGCTCTCGCGGGAGCCTCTCTCGACATCAAGCTTCCCTCACGTCCCGCTTACGGCACAGCCGGAAGACCCATAGTTCTCTTCACCAACTACTTCGAGCTGAAAGGCATCAAGCCCAACACAGTCCTGTACCGGTATGCAGCAACTATCAGCGACCCGGACCTGCCCAAACCGAAGAAGCGTCGCGTTATTGAGCTTTTGCTCCAGACCGAACCCTTCGCAAAGCTCAAGATAGCCAGTGATGGAGCTCAGATGCTCATCTCCACCCAAAAGATTCCACTCGAGGGCGACCGTCCAGCTTTCTCAATTGAATGGTATCCAAAGGATGGGGAGCCAATTCCCAAGGCGACGGCTGATGAGCCTGACAAGCGAAAAGAACTTCGCAAGAAGTCCACCTACCGCATCCTGGTCGAAGAGCTCGGTACAGTGTCGTTGAGCGAGTTGCTCAAAGACCTGGCCCAGCCGACATCTACGTATCCGCTGAAGCTCGAGACCATACAAGCACTCAATGTCATCATGGCCCATGGACCCAGTAGTGATCCCAACATTGCCACAGCAGGAGGTAACAAGTTCTATCCGTTTGGCAGCCATCCGCAGCTACAAGTTGCAGATTTGGGATCCGGCTTACAGGCTCTTCGTGGATACTTCTCTAGCGTCCGCACCAGTGTCAACCGCATTCTGGTCAACGTGAATGTCGCAACCGGTGCCTTTTACAAGGCAGGACCGTTGTTACAAGTAATACATGAAGTCTATGATGCACAATCGAGAAACGATCATCAGTACAGACGGATGGCGGCCTTTGTCCGCAAACTCAGAATCGAAACCAATTACATTCACGACACAGACAACAAGGGAAAAGTAAAGATGGGGAAAAACGGTCCCCTTACCAAGAGAAAGGTTCATGTCATTGGAGACATATCACCACCCGGCAAAAACGCTGACAACGTGACGTTCTCTGAGGTTGGTAAAGAAGGAAAGGTCACCAAGGTGTCTGTCAAGGACTACTTCTTCAACAAGTACAAGATCAAGCTCAGCGCGCCCGCAGCTCCCTTGGTCAACTACGGCACCCAGAAGGACCCCAAGTGGATACCCGCGGAATTGTGCGTTATTTTGCCTGGCCAGCTTGCCAAACGATTGCTACTTGGACCACAGACGAGCGAGATGATCAGATTTGCGGCCCGTCGTCCTCACCAAAATGCAGAGTCGATCACCGGCGACGGTCTGCAGGTCACCAAGATCAACCCGATGTCGAACGGATTAAACACCAACCTGGCCCCGTTCGGAATCAAGGTGGCCCCCAATATGCTGACTGTGCCTGGCCGCATCCTGAACCCGCCAGATCTTCTCTACAGAGGTCAACAGACGTGCAGACCTAACAATGGTGCCTGGAATCTGGACCCTCGTCAACTGGGGCAAAAGCCGTTCCGTGTTGTGGCGAAGACGCTGAGTTCCTGGAACACATTGGTAATCAACTGTGGTCATCGTGCAACCGTTGATGGAGGTGTCCAAGGAGTCATGGCCCACTTGAATGCCTTCAGGAGGACGCTCATGACATATGGTCTGGAACCAGGCCCTGTCCAGCAACCACTCTTCATTGACGTGGCAATCAATGACCTCCAAAACAGGGAAATTGGAAAAGTAAAATTCACAATCTCAGACACCGTGCGGAAGGGCATCAAGAGCAGGCCTAGCTTCTTCTTTGTCCTGTTGCCCAGCGATAATGCGGTGTTGTATGATTCCATCAAGTCTCTCTTCGATTGCGATCTTGGTATACCGAACATTTGCAGCATTGGTAGCAAATTCTCAAAGGAGAAAGGGCAGATGCAGTATTTTGCTAATGTCGCCATGAAGTTCAACCAGAAGCTCGGCGGTGTTAATCACACGGTGGAGCTGAAGAAGATGGCGCCGCTAGACGCGCAGACGATTCTCTTTGGCATCGACGTTACTCATCCCTCTCCCGGCAGCGCAGAGACGGCGCCCAGCATCGCAGGCGTGGTGGCCTCTGTAGACTCCCTGTTCTCGCAATACCCCGCCAGCATGCGCACCCAACAGGGACGACAGGAAATGGTAGCCGCGCTCGACGAGATGATTGTCGAGCGGCTGCAACTCTGGCAGAAGCGAAACCGCGGCCTGCCCAACAAGGTGATTGTCTACCGCGACGGTGTCTCCGAAAGCCAATACCGCATCGTGCTCGAGCAAGAGTACCCAGCCTTTAAAAAGGCATTTGACAAGCTCTACGGCGCCGAGAAGAACCACCCAAAAATCTCCATTGTCATGGTCGGCAAGCGCCACCACACCCGCTTCTACCCAACCAAGGACGAAGACACCGACGGCCGCACCGGCAACCCCAAACCCGGCACCGTTGTCGACCGCGGCGTAACGGGCGAGAAAATCTTCGACTTCTTCTTGCTCGCGCACCAGGGCCTCCAGGGTACCTCTAAACCAGCACACTACGTCGTCTTGCGCGACGACATCAAGCTCGGCGCCGACCAGCTCCAGAGCCTCACACACAGCCTGTGCTATACGTTTGCACGCGCCACCCGCTCCGTCAGCATCTGCCCGCCAGCCTACTATGCAGACTTGCTGTGTGAGCGCGGTCGCTCCTATCTCCACGGCGTGTTGAAGGGCGAGGGCTCCGTCGCGTTTTCCCAGTCGGAGTGGCAGCGCGATGTCAATGCCGCGCTTATAGAGACGATGTACTACCTTTAGGATGGTTGGGGGTGATACTTTATCTTTGAGTTATTTTCTGGATAACCCTTTTCACCGCGTACCGCATACTCTGGTAACACAAACACAAAGCCGCTTATTGACGAACATACCCTTCACAGCCTTTTCCCAAGTCTCTGAACGGTTAAACTGAGCCATTCAATTCTGTAGCCTCGCAAAGCGTTTTTGCAGAAGATTTTTCTTTCTGCCGTCCCCTGCTTCCTTGTCTTTTATGCTCCTTGCTTCTTTCTTTCCCAGCCTCCCCGGGCGAGAAAAAAGAGCAGGTGCTGGGGAGTAGGGGGATGGTGGTGTTGGTCAGGTCATACTTTTGCCACTTTTTTTAGTCTCCCCTGGGGCTGAAAAGGGTGGAAGTGGTCTGACTGGTGGGTGTTGGAGGTGGGAGTTGGGAGTTGGAGGTTGTATACATGGTGTATACTCTCTACTTCACACCCATTTCCCAACTTTTGAAACCCACTTGCTGAAAATTTTAAAAATAAACGAGTATACTCGTCGATTGCTATACGTCATTTTCGAGATGACTTGTTCTTTTTGCTCGACTTGTGGTTTTTCACTTTTTTTTTTCGCTTTTTCTTTCTTGTTTCTTGGTGGGGGGGTTTGCAGA